CACCTAATGTGTGCCAAGCATGAGTTTTTAAAGCACTTGGTCTAAGCGGTAGGAAAAAATAAGACACAATCCACATCTTCATGGAGTATACAATCTAATTAACCAAATACAGAACTAAATACATAATCACCAATGGGTTTAACTGCTATGAAAGAAAACTACTATAAGGACACATACATGCACACTAATGTTCATTGCAGCACAGTTTACAATAGCAAAGACCTGGAACCAACCCAAATGCCCATCGATGATAAACTGGATAGGGAAAATGTGGCACATATACACCATGGAATATTATGCAGCCATCAAAAATGATGAGTTCGTGTCCTTTGTAGGGACATGGATGAAGCTGGAAACCATCATTCTCAGCAAGCTGACACAAGAACAGAAAATCAAACACTGCATGTTCTCACTCATAGGTGGGTGTTGAACAATGAGAACACATGGACACAGGGAGGGGAGCATTACACACTGGGGTCTGTTGGGGGGAAATAGGGGAGGGACAGCGGGGGGTGGGGAGTTGGGGAGAGATAGCATGGGGAGAAATGCCAGTTATAGGTGATGGGGAGGAAGGCAGCAAATCACACTGCAATGTGTGTACCTATGCAACAATCTTGCATACTCTTCACATGTACCCCAAAGCCTAAAATGCAATTAAAAAAAAAGAAAAGAGAAGTATAATGTGACTTAAAAATACATCTAACAGGAAGATGTGATCTAGTCTGGAGAATTAAGGAAGGCATTCCTGAGGGAATGACATCTGGATGGATTTATGAAACAGAGAAGCATTCATGGGATGATAGGATGATTCCTAAACCAAACCAGTGCAGTAGAGGAAGGATTTCAGGAGCAGAGGTGACCACAAAATGCAAAATGATTTGTCCACTGGGAGAATACTGGGCCTTCCAAAAACTGAGGAATGGGGATCCAAGTCAATCTTATCTAGACCTTAAGAGGTAAGGTGATACCTGGATCTCATCTGATTTAATTGGTTGGGATATAGCTTGAGCACTGGGAGTTTTTGAACTCCTCAGGTGACTTGACTATGCAGCCACAGTGGAGAATCACTGACTACTGAACTGCAATAAGAGCCTAGCTGGTGGCAGAAACCCTGACTTTATAGCAATACTGATCCTTCCCCAGCACCATCAAATGACAAATTCCTGTCATTGAATTTTACACACTCTGTATCAAAACTGATGAGGCACCTGTCACATAGCATACTGGGACCTTGGGCAAAAAAAAAGAGAGACAGTGACCCTGAAACAGCCTGAGGCATGATCTCGGCTCATCAACTAGGAAAGAGTTCAGATTCCAGGGAAAACAAACAGTGGTAAGGCCAAGGAAGAGAAAGAGAAAGACTGCTGGGCTGGCATAGAGCTTAAAGAACTGACAATTCTCCTAGCCACCTACTCTCAGTGTTTGCCTCAAAATGCCAAGAATTTGAGGGACAGAAAGCCGTGAAATTGTACTTTGGGGGTCTTGCAGGACAGTGAAAGATATAGTGTTAATGGACACAGCAACAGTGCACTGATAAATGTCTAACAATCTACTCTCTAGGAAGGGGAAAGCTCTGGTTTGTAGCTTTTGCCAATTACAGGGGTGTAAATATTCCCACCATGGCAGATTTCAAGTTACTAACATGACATCACTGAAAGCAGGGCTGCAAAGAGATGCAGATGATTGACTCTCGTGAGCTCACCTGAATCATCTCCAGGACACCACTGGACCCAGCAGGTAACCTGAATGAGTTTTGCAGGCTGGGGTCATCCAGGAATTCTGAGTATCTGGCATTCACATTTAATTTTTGACATATATAATAAATGGCATTTTCTGTTAATTAACTTCCTAAATGTGAGAGGAAAAAGGATTATTTTTGCTATATTGTCCCTATCTTCCAAGGAAGGTGAATCCCAGAGAAGATATGTCTGGATTTCTGGAAAAGCTACCGAAAGGGATGAGAGAATATTTGGGGAGGGAGGAGTGATGAGGTTGCTAATGTTGAGAGAGGAACTTTGGGGAAAGAACAGAGATGCCTTAAAAGGGATTTTTGGGGTAAGTTTTGCTGTGTGGTACACAATGTTATTCTCCAGATTTCCTTAAGAAACCTTCAGTAAAGTTGCATTTCTCAGGAAAACTTTTGGCATTCAATTTGATTTAAAGAGGAATACAGTAAAGTGCTGAATTTGGTCCCATGGTAGGTACACAGCATGAGAACAGGCTGCCCAAAGGGGTAGAGTCATATTCAGATTAGATGGATAAGAGCTATAATAACAACCTGACAATAACAACCAACCTTGCTGAGCACTGACCACATGCCCAGCACGGCTGCACACATTTCATGAATATTAATCCATTTAATCAGGCAACAAATCAGTTCAAATCAGAACCAAGACAAACTGGTCCAAGAGCCCAAGCTTGATTGGTTACTACATCATATGACCTCTTTGTGTAGTATATGGAATATGGAACACAATGTGTATTTTTAGGTAAATAGCTTCTATTTCAATGCAGAACACTTTGGATTTTTGTGGTTATGATGTTTTACCTAGAATTCAGACCTTCCCAGGAGACTGCAACCTTATAGCACTTCTGACAAGCATTGCCTTTGAAATGAATGAAAACCTTAGACAGACTATAAGGGGGGTTTCAGGCATCAGTCAGGGAGGTGGGTATTTTCTTTCTGAGGCATCTGAAGTGACTACAGAAATCCATTATGCAACTACTACATACAACTTAATTAAACAGATATTATTCAGCACCAATTGGGGTATACAATGATAAGGAAGAGAGTTTTACTTGCATCTCCCCCATCAGGTAGGAGAGAGTGGGGAGTGGCGTTAAAAAGCAAGTCCAGGCTGGGCATGGTGGCTCATACCTGAAATCCCAGCACTTTGGGAAGCAAAGGCGGGCAGATCACCTGAGGTCAGGAGTTCAAGACCAGCCTGGCCAACATGATGAAACTCCGTCTCTACTCAAAATACAAAAACTAGCAGGGCATGGTGGTGCATGCCTGGAATCCCAGCTACTAGGAAGACTGAGGCAGGAGAATCAAACCTAGGAGGTGGAGGTTGCAGTGAGAGATCATGCCACTGCACTCCAGCCTGGGCAACAAAGAGAGACTCCATCACGAAAAAATTTTTAAAA